TTTTTAATTTTAAAACAGAAATGGTCCTTCAGAATAGGTGGCTGAATTCAACCATGTATGTCAGGTAACTGAAAAGGAAAAAAAAATACGTGAGAAAATGATTTTTAGAAGCCAAACAGCAAAGCAATCCACAGCATGCTATTGAAAAAGAAAAGGCCTGTATTCTGAATTGTGCAGTTCACGGAAGATCCTTATTATCACAGTATCACAAGGTCATATAATATTAATACAGAAAAGCTGAGAAAATTGGGAGGATTTAAAATGACTCCACTACCTTTTGTTGCACAGGGTGTTTATTCTGCTCCTTTACATAGTTTGATAGCAGAGAAAACATGAGCAACATCACCATTCCAAGACTTGATGGTGAATATTTTCATGGACCTTCCATGGTGCTAATGGGGCACTGATACATCTTACAGAGATTGCTTTAAGGTCACCATAGCATCAGACAGGCAATAGTTTATTCAGGCTGCATTTTAGAAGCCTTCTCGACAACTAAAATGAAAGTTGAAATTCTGGAAAGGAAAAGAAGACCCACAGCATGAAAAAAAGGGACTAAATATTGCTTGGCAGCAGTGTGAATAAAGCATTCACCTGGGGAATAAGAGAATTGGTGAATGTTTAATATAAAACAGACATTCAGGGCTTGAAGTCAGGTCTGCCAGAAGAAAAGCATAACAACAAATTCTCAGGTTACATCTAAGCTAACTGATCCCTAGATACTTCATCCAGTGGATCTAGAATCAAAAGTGATCAAGTTATCACTATTCAACTGAGTTGGAGTTAATGTTCCTGCACATATTCATACCCCAAACAAAAACTTTTAGTTTAAGCTACATTCATTGTACATATAACCCTCATGGAGGTCTTTAGTTTTGGTGTTTGGGGTTTTTTTATATTATAATTCTCTACCCTGAGAACATGGGCCCATCAGTTAATGTGCTCAACTGATGCCATGTCACCTACTAAACTTTGGTAAGAGTATTGCTTTGACGTTTAACTCTCATGGAAGAGAGTACAGTCCAATTCTTGATCTGTTATTCTACAGGAATGGATATTTTTAAACAGCAATCCTCATTACCAACCATCCTCACACGATGGCTGAGTGTAACCAGTGGCCGACACAGCCAAGTTGGTGGTGATGGTGCAGGTCTGAGGTGAAACCAGAAAGTCATGTCCATGGGTCAAGGTCTGGGTCAATGGGACACATGACCAGGCATGGGCACAGCTACAACATCCACTGCAGCGGACCTCCGGTGGGGGTCAGGAACGATAGCATCAGCTTACGAGTCACTCCAAATGAGGAAAAGGGAAGCCTCCACTGAGGCTTCTTCTATCTCCTCCTTTGAAGGCCACCAGCAGCATCACTTCTCATCTGGCCCTGAACCCAGGCTGCCAAACGCCGGAAAGGGAACGGTGGTGAGGATGATCTCAGGACCCTTACAGGCATCTTCAGTTTCCCAGGTTGTCTTCCGAACAAGAGAATCTCTACTCGTCCAGTGGAAAATAATGTTAATCTTGGCATAAGCAAAGGCCCAGGAAACATTAGAGGTTATATTGCTTTCTGGTTCACTTGATGGATAAATTATCAGTGGAGCAAATATAATCTCACTGATTTGAAGCAGGAAAAAAACATAAAATATCTACCAGGCACAACAGAAATGATGCTAAGATAGCTCCAAACTTCTAATATGCAACAAACGTTTCACTCTTAACTTCCAAAGTAGTTAGAAGAGATTCACCTCTTCTAACTTAGGGAACAGTTCACACTCCTAAATGTAGATCTCTGATGTCATTTGGGAAGCCTTAAGGCATGTTGTCCAGCCTCTGGGTCTCACTCCAGAAGATCACAGCTCTTCCACTGTCCTGCATCAGACTGGGCACTTCAGGCTCTTTTCATAGTTAATGGGCAGAAAGGCAGCTGCAAAGGATGATTTATGTGGCATACCTTAGATTTCTGATTTAACATGAGATTAATCACCCTGTAGAGATGCTTCTTTCTCTCCATCAGTGATAAAGGGAGCCTGGAGTGACTGTTGGAGACCACACACTCTAGTTCTGAGAAACACAAACCAGAGCAGATTAATGCCACCCACTCTGTCTCCTGTGTCAGATCTGGAGGGAAAAGGAAAGATATCCAACAGGCAATAACTTCCCACTAGCAATGAAATGATCATTCTGGGCATCAGTTAGTGTCCTAAAGCCCCTGTACCAAAATCTTATTCACTAGCCTATTCTTTTAAAAAGACAATAGCATTCAGTCCAATACTTAGCCCCTTGCATGGCTTGAACCTCACACTAAGCACAGCTTGCAAGGGGGATGGAGATAGGAATAACAGTGTATTATTTTCACATAAGCCTCTTGCTCCGGTGGCTGGTTATGAATCATTTCACATCCCAAGACAACATAAGTCGCCAGTACCTCAGTGTAACACTTCATCTTCATTACAAAGGTAACAGAGAGCTGAGCTTGCGATTGTCCTGTAGCAACTACCATTTTGGCCTTAGTAATTGAAAAGAAATAGAACTGTGAGATACAGAACAACCCCTACACCTTCCTGTAGGGCTAAGCCAACTACTATAATATTGGCAGAAATTTTGCCCTTGATTTTCAAGGGCATAGACTAATCTCTTTGTGCTTTCCTTGAAAGCTGACAGTCTTATCGTATATCAATCTCCAGGAAATAGGGTGCTAATTTTCCTGGCAAATTTTTCTCAAATGTGAGTAGAGGATTTCCTGGCTTAGCTGAATTCCAGAGTGCTTTTAGGAAAACAATAGACCTTGATTTAAAAGTGGTTAGAGATAAAACACTTACCCCATTCCCCCCAGTTAATTGTTTTCCTGCTTGCTGTCACTGTTAAAAATGCATACTTATGTCTAGTCTGACCTTGCCTTGAGTCCTTGCCCAGCACCTGGGGTTTTTTTTGTCTGCTAGCCTGAAAAGGTCTGTGCCATCCATTAGTTGTGACAGGCGCACAGTGAAATCCTGCTGCCCTGAACAGCAGGGCGGACCCAGCTGTGTACTTTCCAGATGTGGTACGTTACCCACTTGCAAGGTGCCAAAGTTGTGCTGCCACTAATGCCATACGGGTACCTTGCTTTCCTTGTCTAAGACAAATAAAATCTCAATTACCCTCAGCTTCTTGCTGACCCTTATGGAAGCGCAAGGATAAAAGCATCTTGATTGCTTCTCTAATTACAGGTTGTTACAATTTCATGTTGGGTTAGGCAATTCACTTCAGGTGTCTTGTCCTGTTGTGACTCTACTACAGCACCTCCACAGCACACTGTTTAAGGGGAGTGATATTTTCAGCAGCAAAATTCAGCAAAGAGATAGAGGAGCTGCTACACTTGGCTTTGTAACTTTACACCAACCTCAAACCACTGAGAAATGTTTTTTACTACTTTTCTTTTCTCTTTTGTTCTATGGAGACATCATGCAGAGCTTTTTCCTGGTTACCGTGATCCCTCTTTACTTAGGAGAGCTTGGACAGGTACAGGACAAACTTTTAGGGAGTAAAATTTACAGCAGCAAATGGTCTGTGTGCTTGTGTTGTGAAGGCTGTCTGCAAAATGGTTTTACTCCTGATGAATGAGAAATGCTCACACTTGGAACCAAACATACAGATTATTTCTCTCATTTCCTTGGATTAGTCTCAAAGGTCTAATACATTGCTTATGGTGATATAAGGCCAGAGGAGATTACCTGGCTTTTGAAGCGTACAGAAAGTTGGATGCTTGCTCCTTTCTTACAGCATTGATGTGGCATAGAGGAACTCCAGTTAAAATAAGAGTCAGAGCATGTAAAACTGATCACACAACATCTTTCCAAGCACAAGACTCTGCCTGCCTGCAGAATCCATTTCCATAAGGTATATAAACGAGGTTAAGAACTTAGGTAGGTTGGAAAGTTGAGCTTCTATTTAGAATAGAATAATCCTTGAACTATTTTAAAGATGCCCTCAAAAAAGCAACTCAAAAGTTCTTAGAGACCATGAGATCTCATGCTTCTTGACATGTGTTTATGACCTGTGGGCCAACTAATTTTATGATTGCCTGTTTCTGAGTTTCATTGATCTTTTCCCTGAGGTTGCTGCTTTGTTGTTGTCAGAAGCGGTACATGGATGAACCAATGACCTGCTCAAGCCTGTGAATTCCTAATCTAGGAAACCAACCAATAGTGATTTCATTACAATGAATTGTCTGAATCATGATTAGATTTGCAGATGGAAATTCTGAAATAATGTATAGGTTTAAGCATGAAGAGAAACTATATCTTACTAGGATTAAAAGCATCATCTGCATCCTTAAGACATGTAAAGAAGCCTAGATCATGGAAAGAAGAATGATGGAATAGTAAGCACATGATGGGGGGATTTAGGAGATCTGGGTTCTTGGCCTGCCCTAAATAGATTTGGATGAAAGCCAATTAAGGCATACATTGAGCTCTTGTTCTGGATCTATTTAGAGGGTTTACAGCGTTTCCATGCAAACTCCTCATTGCTTTCTTCAGCTGGAGGCCCACATCCCCAGCACCTACCTCTGCAAAAATGAATGGCTAAGATGTGTTGTCAGGATCCTCTAGCAATAACACACTGTTGAATGGTGCCAGTACCTCTCAACTGCTGCTGTCATTTCCAGACATAATGGATTTAATTTGTTGGTGCTCTGATGCTCAGAAACACCGGTGGTGTATATGGTTTAAGGCAATGGTTTACATTGGTTTTAGTGAGAAGGACATGCTCAGTCCTTTACCACAGCTCACCTGAAGAACGGTAATTCTTTATTTTCAGGTAACTCAATTGCTTTAGACCGTGTGACCATATCCCTCAGGCAGGTACTTCCACTGATGTAAATGGCTACAGGTTCCCACTGGAAGAAACTCTTCTGAAATTAATTTTTCTTCCAGCTGTCTTCCCACTGTAAATGGGCCAGCCTGTACTAGAGAGGCATCTGCTGGCTGAACTGAATGCTCTTGCTTCCCTCTCTCTTTTCCCAGTTATCACACTGTGCTGTATCTTCAAGTGCCGGATTCCCCGGACAAAGAAAGAGATTGAGGCACGATATGCTCAACGGCAAGCAGCCAAGACATATGCAGACAAACTGGAGACTGTGCCACCACTCAACGAGCTGACAGAGATCCCTGGAGGTACTGCCCACACCCACACCTACAAGAGACCCATCTCTTCTTTTGGGGTTGCTTTCTGTATGCATGAATGCAAAGGGCTAGGTCCTCCCGTAGTGTAAATCAGTGTGGCTCCTTGGGCACAACCATTAAGATATTGCCATGATTTGGTAAAGCCCTCCTAATCACATCCACTAAACCTGCAGCATTTGTGGCAGCAGGAACAGTCCTTTCTTTAGATGAAAGGGACAGTTTCTCCGCTGGTGCAAATCAGGGTCATTCCTTTGAAGTCCATGTTTAAAATTTCCAGAGAGTCTGATTCATTTTAAGGGCCAGTTCCTGGGTTGGGGGATGTCAGTAGGAAGAAAAAGAGTTGTTAGACTTTCACATTACCCGTAAATGGCTTACCCTATTTGGATGGCCAAGAGTATTTCTGTCACTGGTCTCCACTGCTCTTACTCATCTTTCCTGATTCTGTACCCTAGGCTCTACTGAAACTCTCCTAACTCTCTCTGGTCATGTCCAGTCCAGACCTCTCAACTCCCTGCCTGTGGTCAAAGAAGAAGATGAAATGGCCCTTCAAGGAAATTAGGGGACTGCCTTCCTGTCTGTCTGTCTATGGCTTCTCTTTTCTGATGAGATCCATCATACCTTGGACTCTCTGCTTCTCAGTTCCCTTTCTGCATTTGACCTCTGTTTTCTCAATACCCTTTTATGAACTTTTTTTCTCTTTCCTGTGTCTCTGCAAGGTCTGTGATCTACAGCTTTGTAGCAACTGGAAGTTTCCTTAACTCAAAATGTGATGCTTCAGTCCATGAAGGCCAGGCTGGACGGGGCTTTGAGCAACCTGGTCTAGTGGAAGGTGTCCCTGCCCACGGCAGGGGGTTGGAACTACATGATCTTTAAGGTCCCTTCCAACCCAAACCATTCTATGATTCTATGAAACTAGTGAAAGAGGCAGATAACATAATTGTAGAAATTTAGTCGTACACCAGCAAAATACAGAACTAAGTGCTTAACAGTAGGAACTTGCACATACCTCAGTATTTCAGAGGTGTTCAGACATCTGATTATACTTATACTATAAACTGAGGGTGGCCAGACCACTCTCTGGAGCTGAACCCAATTGGCATGAATAACCCTTGTCCATACAGTTAAATTCTCTTAACTTACTTTAAAGTCAAAGGTCATCCAAAGGCCTAGTTAATGCACTCTTACGTGTATGAGCAATCACACATGGAAGTGCTTCGTATTGTGTCCTTCAATTTCCTGCCCAAAAGACCAAACTCTGACTCTGTAAGGAGCAGCTATCAGTAGATCCCAGAGGGTGTAAAGGATCATGCCTGTAGATAGCAGAAAGCCAAATTCATTCATTTGCTGCTGCATCCTCTTCCTGTCTAGCTGTTACTTCTGGAAAACCAATAAATTAAGGATGAGAATATCCAGAAGAGACAGAAAGGGTATTTGGGCAGCAGAATGGCCATTTCAACCCTGAATGCTAATAAATTTTGATGTCCTGTAAGCAGCCTTTACATCCCACAAACACGTACGTGTACTCCATCCAAAGGCTGGCTATTTTGCTGTAGGTTTAATCAGACCATGGTAAATTATTGCAGCATGAACTCATGAATAAATTACCACAAGAAAGCAATTTATTGGGAGTCAGCTGCACCATAAAGACTACCTTAAACTTTCATCCAGTTAAATGTATAATTTGAGTAGTTGACCACCCTTTAACCTTTGAGAATCTCAGAATTATGGTCCTGGCATGATGCAGGGTAGGAGGCTGGTGGATAACATGTTGCTGAGTGGCCGCTGGTATCTGGTAATGGCTCGTGAATATGTGTTCTCTGAAGCTCCTAGTCCTCTAGGACTAGGCAGATATAAATCTGCCCAAGTTGTCCTGAAGGAATTAGTACTGGGGTGGGAGTCATCTGTCCACCAGTACATTATCCACACCTATGGAGAAGTCTGCATCAGCACTAGTTGTCTAGACTTTATCCCTTCATCCACGGTGGAAAATAAAAAGGATGTGATTCCTTTCACAGTAGGGGCGGTGTTAAAGTGGAAGAGGTATATTGTGCCTTAAAAATGCCTGTATGTCTCCAACCCTGGGGACTCAAAAGGACTGACTCAGCCGTCAGCGCCTAAACTGTTAGATGCAAAAGCTATGTGTGATCAAACCCACTGGTTTGCCCTTCTTCTGAGATTAGTGTGCATCCTGTTCCCAAAACAGTTTCACTACATGATTTAGGCATTACAATGGAAAGTATGCAAACCTTTGGGCTTCATCTCTGTGCTGCTATTTTCATCTGTACAGAGTGTGATGCTTGCCATGTTGCCCCACTTGACATTTGGCAACCGACCTTGATTTACGCGGTCATGAAATATAATGTATGTGTCGACTATTTATACACTTATACTGTGACAACCCCTCGTAGACCCAGTCAAGGCCAGAGTGATGACTTGAGTGATTTTAATTACTGAGTGGCCATTAAACGCTTTAAAGAAAGATTTCTGTAAGTGTCAAATACTGTTAATCATGAATATATACAATGCTTAAATACTCTCACTTCTTGGCATTATTTTACCCTACTTCACATTTATTATGATGGAATATTCTAACTGCCAAATGGCTCTCCGTGCACTTTTTTGAGTGTCATATATGGCAAACCCTTTTACTGCAGATAAATAAAATGGACTTCAGGCTTCAGTGTATAAAATGTTATATACAAATTGATTCATTTGTGTTCTGTCTGCCAGTCTGTGGGAGAAGTACAAGCAGGACTTGACCTTTGCTCTGGGTCGAGATGTACTGTCTGTGTCCATGGCCTGGGAGATCTTCAAGTATTCTGCTCTGAGACTGCTCCAGCTGACATTTTGGGGAGTTCATCTGGTTCCTACCATATTTGTCCAGGAAGCAGACAATGTGGTGTTTTCTTTTTTTTTTTTTTTTTTATTTTTCCCCTCTTTTTTTTTTTTCTTATATGAAATGTCAGGATTTCCCCGGTGGTTGTCAGAAAGAGTCTGTATTGTTCTATTCTCATTTGTATGTCTAAATGAATTGCCAGTTCCCGAGGTCAAAGGATGATATTTTATTTTAGTGTGTATGCTGAAGGAATGTTTTAGGTAAATGTAACAAATTCAGGTTTGCTTCTCACCTGTAATACATTGATGCAATTTGAAAGTGACACTGCAGACATCCATAACAATGGGAGATTTGGGGCTACTTAAACAGGTCGGAGTCCAATGGCTCCAGGTAAGGGTTGAGACTTCTCACCAAAGGCCCGTACTAAATTACCTCCTAACCCAGTTCACTGCCATCTTTTCTTAGCCTGTGGCAAACGTGAAATAATTTGACTTAGCTTAGGTGCCAGCTGAAGAAAGCTAAACAGTGACCAACCATCCTCTGTTTGCTGAGGTTGCTCCCAGGTCATTGCTACATCTTGGCTGATTTTAATTATTAAGTTGTGTTAACAAGGTTATCTATTTACATATCTGAGTCCTATACTGGGGATTTTCAGAGAAGGAGGTCATGGGAAACTTAACGCATTTTCACTTGTTTTTGCAAAACTTTATACTCTGCTGGTCTTGAGCAAAGGAAAAACTTTCCATAAGAAATATATGAAATATGATCTGTGTTTAAGTGTCAAGTTGCTGCCTGAGATGAGAGTTCAGTGCATCAAGCTCTGACTTCAGAAATACTTTTGAGAAAATGAACCACTTCTAGTAGAAGAAAAATAAGAAAGATGAGGAAAAGTTTTCTGCTACCAAAGCCTTTGTCAGAATAATTAAAGTCTGCAAAGCCAGTGTGGTACTTATGAGTCTTCTCACCTGAAATGTGGACACTGAATCCAAGATGTTCCTAAGTAAAAATATTCCATAAGTAAAGATATTATAAGCTTCCTATAACTCATATGGCTTGTTAAAACATACCAAAATAGGGCTAATTGTCTACTAGAGTTAATTGCTATGTGCCCATGGTATGCTGCTGCTATTAATTGCAGTGGTACAGGTGGGAAGCCAGTCCCATTGTGACTGGACATGGAAAGGACATAAGCTAAACCTACTTTATAGTCTTGTGCTGGGCGAGCCATCTTCTGCTTGTCTGTCTCTGAAAGCAAAGATCCCCAGCAGAATCCCTACTGTCCACTCTCAGCTGCAGGATGCATACCCCATACACAAAGAATTAGAAAAGCCAACCAACCAACAGAAAAAACCAAACCCAAGACAGGTCTGTACTGAATTGCACAAGAGATCTTTCTGTTCCTTCTTGTGGAAGGAGACAACTCCACACTGAAAGTCATTATTGGGAAATGCTTATGGACCACACTTGTAAAGTTCATGGAGCAGTTCCTACCAACAGGAGCTGTTTCCTCCAATAGATCCACAACTCAGCTCTTGAAATTACCAGTTCTGCTTTATCCCATTAGTCTATCTTCTCAAAACAAAGACACGAAAAGCTGCTAGTCAGTGAGCAAGCCAGCTGTACAGACAAAGCCCCAGCAGAAGTATTTTCCCTTTGTCCAAGATTTGCCAGCAGGGAGCAGGAGTTTTGCCCTCTTCCCGGCTAGTGTCAACCCAAGTTAACTGCTTTCCTGTTTTCTTTTTCCATCCTTGCATACAGCTCAGGCTGCAGAAGAAAAAAAAGAAGAAGTTCCCACTGTATCTGGAAAAGTGGACAAAACTCAGGGTAAAAAAGATGGATCCAAAGGCTCCAAGAAGGATGGTGAAAAGGACCAGAAAGAAGGATCCAAGAAAGAAGGGAAGGATGGGGCCAAAAAGAAAGAAGGAGAAAAGGGAGAAAAGGGGGGAAAGGACACTACTGACAAGAAACAAGGTGGTGGGAAGAAAGGTGAAAAAGAAGGTGAAGCAGAAAAATCAGGAGGCACCAAAACTAATGGCAAGGCTGGCGGGAATGCCAAAGCCCCAGCGAAGAAGAAGTGACCTTGCTGAAAGCCTGCGCTGGCAGTCTTTCGGGGAGGGCACTGCCAAATTGCTGCGGGTAGAGCACTGGGAGCAGGTAGGACTTGCTGTCTCCATACCCTCAGGCTGTTGAGTGCCACTGGATATAGGGATTTATTACCTTTTGAAGACCAAGTCACTGGGGTTTTGTCCACCAGAGGAAAACCTGGCCATTTGGCTAGACAGTAACTTGTAAATAAAATGCACTGTGCAGAGCTACGTGATAGCAATGACTGGAACCAAACCGCAACCTGGAGTGAGAATCAGAACTTTGGATAAGCATGGAAATTCACAGAGAAGGTCTAAACTAATGGAAAGACATGATTCATTTAAAATTTGCTCTTCTTGACGACCTTAAGGAGCTTGATAAATATTTACTAGCACTCATCTCCTCCTAAAGAGTATTTGCATGTGGGGAATTTTAGGGATTAAGCAAATTCTGGATGCAAAACCCCAAAGAACCGAGTTTTCTAAGTCAGCTCATGTGGTTTCTGAGAGGTGGCTTGGACATATGGGAGAAAGCTTTCCTTCCTTCTCAGATGCCTCCTTCTCTGGACTGCTGAAGGAAATACAAAAGTCTGCACATGTCCCAGAAGATTTATCCACCTTTTTCTCTTTTCTGATCAA